AGACGATACTATCGTCTCGTGCAGACTTTCCGAAGAAAAGTGCTGGCCTTCTTCTATTGTGCTTTCCCAGACCCTGTCCGAGACGTCCTGGGAGGGGCGTAGAGCGCTGCGGACGCCGCGCATACCTCTGCTATGGGCGTTTTCCAGTATCGACTTCTCATCTAGAGAAGGAGGCAGAATCTGCACTGGCCACAACCCACTGGGTTGTATCCAGCCAAGCAGGGAAAACCTTCCCTCACCTGCTGTGCTGAGGTCCTGTCAGGGAAATCGATTTTATTGAGAAGCTTTGCTAAAGCCACTGTCTGCTGGCTTGGTGACGCTGTTCACCTGAGCGTCATTCGAGGAACGTACCCCGGTCTCGAGGGCTTGGCACTCTGTGCAATCTCGATATATGCATCGATGCCAACGTGCGACGCTTGGCCAGCAGGACAGTGTCTTCGTGCACTTCGGCTGCGATGGCACGCTTGAGGGATAGAGGCACTGCCCCAATGTCTCTGGCTGGGTGATTTGTGAGATGCGCTCTCACCCAGTGTAGAGGCTGCAGCGGGATGGCGCTGATGGCCTTCTGGGAGGCTTCGATCCACTGGATGGAGCCTTTTGGGAAGCAAATCCACGACTGTGGTAGCTTCTGGGGGGTCTTCAGCCTCGAAAGCACCGCGCTGCGGGGCCTTGCAGAGTGACTTTGTTACTGAAGTCTGGCTCGTAGCGCAGGCGACGCAGACGCTTGCGACTGAGAGGCGCTGCCTGGAGTGCTGCTGCGCATTGGTCTGCCGCGAGGAAGACCCAGACCGAGCTCAGCTGAGTGGTGTAGGCGCTTTCTAGGGAGGTGACCACACTGTGGAACCATCCACTGAGGCTCTGCCCCAGCAGGTGTTTGTGGCCTTCGTCGCAGTCCCTGCTTGGACCAGAGAACCAATCCAAATTGGAGAGGATTGCAGTACGCTTGCGGCGCATGCTTCCGAACATGCACGCGTCAAACTCCACTCTGTGAGCTGACTGCATCCTCCAAAGGAGGCTACGAGCTGGATTTTCTGTGGACCAGCAGACGCCGCGCTGCGACAGGGACTGTGCCATGAAAGCGACTAGGCTGTTCGCGCTGCAAACTCGTGCTGCGTCTGCTCCTCGGAGGCCTTTCAGGCCTGCTGGGCGCGATTCGCTGCGCAAAGGGCCCGGCGCTCCTGGCCTGGGAATCTCTCTAGCTCTGCTAAAGGTGCCGCACGGCGGGGTCTTGGTGTGAGAGCACTGCCCTCAGCAGGTTGCGACCCAGCTGCGTACAGAGGTCGAGCTGGAGGACCTTGAGGCCTCTGGCCTTCGTCTTGTGATCCTCTGCGACGTTCGAGAAGCCTTTCTCGATGGCTGCCTTCCTGAGGCGACCGAGGCCGCAGAAAACTTCCACAAACAGTGGCGGCCGAGGGGTCGCTTTCGGAGCGGGCTCAGGGAGAGGAACTCCCGGAGCGTTGTCTGCAGGCACGCTGTGCTGTTCCGAGTTCCGACAACAGGAGCGCTGGGGGGTCGGCGTTTGCCGGTAACCCTGCGTCAGGATGGCGCAGCTGTGGCACATCCTGGCTTAATTGTTGCAGGCGAGTGCGGCGACGGTGCCGAGGTAGGGGGTTCAGGGCTCTGCCCTGCGCTTGGCGCGGTGGCAGGGAGGCGCAGCGCTGGGCCAGGAGCTGCGGGCGCAGTGGCCGAGGGCTGTTGCGGCTCTGCCGCGCTCAGGGCAGGGGTGCGGCCCCTGCGTTCTTGGGGCAATCTGCGGCACCGTGGTCGGTGCTGCCGCAGCTCATGCACTGATGCAACCCCCTGTCGCACTGCTTGGGGGATCCGGAGGTCTCCAGGTCGCACCCGCACTGCAGGTTGAAACCGTAGCAGAGGCGCTTGCCCGACTTGGAAACGTGTTCAAGTGGCGGAGCTCTTTGGGCATGTTCTCTACTAAGAATCTAGTGGCCTCTTACCAGCCTTGTCCGGTTTGCAACCCTTGCGACACTCTCGCGCGAGCAGCGTCCACAGTTCTTTATCGGCCCGTACTACGTGCCAACTGTTGCCGCGCTCCATCCCCGGCGGCGCTGGCCGGTTCAGGACGGAGAAGAACTGTCTCACGAGTCTCTCGTGAATCGTGAAATCCAACACGCCGACTCTGTCGAGCGCGAGACCTCTGCGCGTGAGCGCCTGCGTGAGCTTTAGCTCATTGCCGATCTCGACGTGCACGCTGTGCTCCTTTTTCTTTACTGTGATTTCCCCAGACTCTAGGGAGAGGAAGTCCTTGTCACGCTCACTGAGGCGATCTCGGCATCCCGGCTGACGCACTGCGACGGCGGGATGTAACGAACGATGCCGTCCTGCAGCATGAGCGCGGCCTTGTCCACGAGGCTGTGCGCGGGGTCGTAGTCACCTTCGATGACGACGCCCCGGAGGCGCGCGACTTGCGCGGCGCGGCGCTCCTCGCGCTCGTGCAGGGGCAGACTCTTGGGGGTGACGCTGTCACCCTCTACCCTCATCTTCAGGTCCTGGATGCTGAAGGTGAGGCTTTCGAAGGCCAGACGCAGCGCTGCGGCTTTGGTGCCTAAGGTCGGCTCTGCCGCCCCGAAGACCTTCTTGATGAGTTCTTCAAATTTCGCATCGCTGATGCGGTCGGGTTGGTCGGCGACGCTGTACGCGAGCGCGCCGAAAGTGCGGATGTCTGCCGCAAGGAGCTTCGCCGACTCGGCGGCTCCTAGGAGTTGTCCAGCTCTGCTGGAGAATTCCGCGACACTGTCGACGAGGTTCGCCATCGTCCTGCAGGGCAAGCGAAGATGAAAAAGAGAGAGAGACGCAAACGCGGAGCAGACTGCAAGACCCTACTAGGACAGACAGGCTCGTGAACTCGCTCTCTTTTTCACTCTGCATCGAAAGACTTGCTGCTCCAGCAAGTCTTGCAGTGCGGTCGGCCTGGTGTGAGTTCGCGAACTTCGCAACTCGTATACTTTTCATTTAAGCAGCGACCGCAGAGAAGCCTCTTGGCGTTCTCGCCGCGGCTCGCGTGAAGCTTGCCACTGGCAAGATGACACCACGAAAAGGCCCAGTCTGGGAGAGTGCACTGCACCTCCCTTCTGAGGCGAGGGTGCTCCTCTACCTCGGGCTCGGCGACGAACTCGTCTTCTCTGTCAGTGTCACTGGCACTGTCTTCTGTGTCGCTGAGCTCCTGTTGCTGCGAAACCTTCAGGGCTTCCACCCCCACTGGGGGTGCTGAGCCAGAGGAGGTTTTCCTGTGAGAGACCTTGCTAAGGTTCTCTCGCCTCAGGTTAAGCTGACTGCTAGGCAGCGCGAACTGTTTCCCGAGCGGCTGGTCGGGAAGGAAGTGGCCATCTCTGATGGCAATGAGAACCTCCTCCAGAGCCCGCGCTGCGGGGATGAGCACGTTTCGGCTGTACGTCTCAGTGCTCCGAGCACTGTCGTGGACATGGTGGGCGAGGAGCCTGCGCAGGTCCAGGATGACGCCAGCTTGCGAGGCCCAGGTGAGGCACGTCGCTTTTAGACTGTGACTGCTGAGGCGCTCTGCGCCTTCACAGCCAGCGTTCGACAGCGCGCTGCGCAGCCAGGAGGTGATTTCTTGAGAATTCATCGGGCGATCCGCTAGATCACCATCCGATGTGAAGGCAGGGATCACTGACCCCAGCGGGATTTCTCCGCTGGAGCTGAGACCCAGCTTTTCTCGATTGGCGAGCCACTGACTCACCCACGACTCTTCGAAGAAGACCACCGGGGCTACCAGCGGGAGCAGCAGGCGGCTTCTAGCCCCTACGGCGGTTTTCGCTTTGTGCACATTCGCCTGCATCCACACTGTGGCGCAGGGGTCCTCTGGGAGCTCGACCGAAAAGGAGGCAACTCGGGCCGCGTCGCTGGCGCGGGCGCATGCGAAGAGCATGAACAACAAGCCCCCAATCACGTCGAACCCTCAACCTTGCAGGGGTGGGTCTTCGGGCCTTGGGAAGGTGGGGTGGGGTCTCCAGGGGTCGCTCAGGGTTTCTCCGGTAGTGATGTGCAGTGCTCGAGTTGTCTTGCGCCGATTCCTGCCCACGCCCTTTGCCCTACACCTTCCTTGTCACCCATATGCAACCATTGCTGCTTTTGTGGCGGGCCCGGTGTCCGGCCTGCTCAGGTGGTGTTGTCCGATCCTTATATGCCTTCAGGTCAACCTGTGTGCAGGGTCTTCAAGTCACCTGGAATTGTAAACAGCGGCAAGCCCAGAATTTTGATTCCGAACCTTTTGGGGCTCGGTTGCGTGGAATCGACCGGGATGTGTGACTTGATGCTGGAGGCTGCTGAGTTGTCATTTCAGGTCCCTACCCCGTGTGCTTCCCCGGTTTTTCTGGGCCCTAACCCCAATGTGCAGGTAATGGGTTCACTTGGAGGCTTCGCTCAGCCTTCAGGTGAGCTCCAACCAGAATTTTCCACATATCTTGAGCAAGGGGCCAGTGACTTGAGCACCTTGATCCCAGAGCATTGTGCGGCTTGTGGGCAGCGTCGGGTCCTAGCCAGATCTGGCGGCCATGCTGTTGCCCTTTTTCTTTATGCCTGTGTGAAGGTCCATTGCTTGGAGCCGAGGGCGCCTCTTCAAAGCGCGATTCATGATTGTTGCCACTTTTGCCCTGAGTGCTTGTGTCGGTGGCAGCGCCAGTGCTGCTCTCAGCCTCGGGCTGGACAGGGTTTTCATATCACAGGTCCGCGCTTCTTCCAGGGATGCGAGGCTTTTCTTGAGGACGCTGAGTGTTACATTGCCGCCCCTGCACCTGTGCAACAGGGATCTCGCGGGACTGGTCAGCAAGGACTTGCTGGTTTCAAATCCAGGCGCACACGCAGGAGGCATAATCGCATCGTTCGCCAGCTGCTGCAGAGACAGTGTGATTCGGGGAATGTTTCGGATACCGCTGATTTTGCTTATGAGCGGGATTTTCCTAATAGATCGCCGGGCGCCCAGGGCCCAGGAGATGGGGGTTATCAGGAGGCGGAGTTGTCTGCAGGAGATGGGAGGGCCGATGGCTGTGGGCCCTGGACGCCTGCTGCGTGCAACCATTCCTCATCGGCCAGGCTTGACCGTGAACGTGGGCATTTGGGCCCTCGGGCCTCAGGACGTGGGTGCAAACCGGTGGAGGATTTTGCTGCAAAACTCCCGGAAAGCAACCCCCCTCTCCCGGCCCGGGAGAGGGGGTTTGTGAGGCATTCTTGGGGCCATAGCACACCCCCTTGGTACCACTTCCCCGGGGTCCGGACACGGCGTTCTGAAGCGCTTGGTGCACTGCTTGATTTGACTCAGGTGTCCGGTCAGTCTGGCGAGGCAGTGCACAGTACCGCCACTTTGCATCCTGATGTGCGCCCTGTTGGCTGCACTCAGAAATTTTCCCAGGATTCTTCTTGTGGTTCCCTTGATGTGAGCTTTGGAGGTGGCACTCCCACAAGTTGCCAAAAGTCTGCTTTTGAAAATCTTCAAGCTGCGGTTCTGGCGGGGGATGCTCCATCCATCTTGAACTTGGTCGAGTCTTTTGAGCAGCAGGGCCTCATCACTGAAGGCACTTTTCATTGGAAGGTTGTGGAGCTTGCTGTAGAAACACAGGAGGACGTGCCTCCACATGTGGCAGGCTGGGCAATTGAAGATGCCCTGGCAAACCTTAAGGACCCGAAATATCGAGATGATTTGCGCATTGTCACGGCTAATGTCTCTTCATGGAGGAAGGACCTTTGCCCCTGGGTTGCGCAACTCGGTGCCTCGGTTGTGATGCTTCAAGAGACGCATCTGTGTCCTGATCAGCCCGACTTGATTGAAGGCCAATTGGGGGTTTATGGTTTTAATGTTTTTAGTGTGCCGGGGCATCCCACGGGCCGTGGGGGCACTTCAGGCGGAATGGCAATTTGCTTTCGCAAGCACCTGAATGTCCGTCGTGTGCATCAGTTTTTCAAGGCTGGTGCGGGTTTTCAGGTTGCTGCTATTCGGCTGCGGGACACGGATTGTTACTTGGTTAACCTTTATTTGAAGGCTGGTGAAGGATTTCAGAGTGCCACCAACTCGCAAATTTTAGCTAATCTGCTTGCTTTCCTTACTTCGGCCCGAGGCATTTATTTTGCAGCAGGCGACCTGAATGAAGACTTTGAGGTCATAGCGGCCAGCAGCTTTGCTCAGGAAGCCAAGGGCCATTGGATCAGCAGTGGAGAGTCCACGTGTGCAGGGGGAGGCAATATTGACTATGGCCTTCTTTCCCCCATCCTTGCTGCGGGTGCCAAGTTGGCTGTTGATTGGGACACTCCCTTTGCTCCGCATGCGGCGTTGCATTGGACCCTGCAGCTTCAGCATTTTGATTTTAAGTTGCCGCAGTTAGTTGCCTTCAAGCCTGCGCCGGTGCAGCCCCAGCCGTTTCTCTCGAGTGTCGTTGCTGACCCTCGTGGTGAGCAGGTTGCCATTCAATCTCAGGAGCTGCATCTGCTTGGGACTGAGGTCGCTACGCCTGGCCTGAGTGCGCTCTTTGCCAACCTTAGTCGGGATGTTGAATACTCGATCTTTGGGTATAGCCAAGGCCGAGGTGCCAATGTTCAGGTCAGCAGGAGGCCCCTTGTTGTCCCCACAGCTCCTGCTTTAGGATGGGGAGGGGCCAAAGCCTCCTTTTGGCAACGTATGGTGGTGTGGCTGCAGGCGTGCTCCAAACGTTTGCATGTGAGCTCTTTTGGCCGGTCGGCCTCACTCCGTCTTGGCAGCATTTGGGCAGGTGCAACTTCTGATCGGGAGGCCTTTCAAGCTGACCTTCAGGTTTTCTTGGAATCAGAGGATGTACGAGTGCTGCCTGGACTGCTTGCGACTGCACAGGAGCAGCACAAGGCCCATCAGCGGAAATGGCAACAGGAGAAAAGTGCATCATATGGTCAATGGCTCAGGCAGTCGACTCAGAAAGGCATGCGACCATTGTTTCGAAGTGTTAAGGCTGAGGAGGTCGTAACTGTTCGGCCCTTTCTTGATGCCCCTCTGCAAGAACGCATTTACTTGAGGTGGAGGCATTGGTTTGAACTGTGGTCACATCCGGCCGGGGTCGACCGTGACCTGCTGGCCTCCTTGAAACATGCTGCGCAGGAGCAAGCCCGGCTTTTGCATCCGATTGACTTGGAGCGGGCTGTAGGGTTTTTCAAGAAAGTTCCCGCTAAAGCGCCCGGCCTGGATGGTTGGACTTGTGAGATGCTCCGCAACCTTAGTGTTGAAGCTGTTCAGGCCATTCTTGAATTTTTCCATCACTGTGAGCGCGAGGCTTCGTGGCCGGACCAGATGGTCTTTGCACTTATAGCCTTGTTGCCTAAGTCTGAAAAGCGTGAACGCCCCATTGCATTGTTGCATATCCTTTATCGTGCTTGGGCCAAGTTGCGGTGGCCTTTGGTTGCCGCGTGGCAGACTGCTTATGCTGCTCGTGCACGATGGGACAAGGCTGTTCCGGGCGGCCAGGCGCTTGACGTAGCACTGGCAAGGCTGATGTTGGGAGAGTCGGTGCGGCGGAGCAAATCACATCTTATAACATTGTTCCTGGACATGGAGACGTTCTACGATAGGTGTGTGTTTGATGACGTCATTCGCTCTGGCCTTTCTTTGGCATACCCGCCACTTGTTTTGCATCAGGCATTGCTTACTTACATGGGGCCCCGTTTTGTGCAATCTGAAGGTGCATTGTGCCCTCCCATTTGGCCGGGGAGGGGAGTCCTTGCTGGTTGCCCAGCGGCGCCGTCGGTATCAAAACTCGTCATCCACCCAGTTGCCGAAAAGCTTGCTTCCAAGAAAAGTGCATGCAACCTTGACATTTGGATTGATGACTTGTCTCTTGATTCGGTTAATAAGTCCCTGTTGCAGGTTGCCAGTGATTCCCTTTTTCTGTTCAGGGCTCTCCGACGGGATTTGGAAGCTAGAGGTGCACAAATATCAATTTCAAAAACATGCTTTGTGGCATCGTCGACGGAGGCGGCCAAGGCCATGAGCAAAATTCTTGATGCCAATGACCCTCAGGTCAAATCGATGACTAGGGATCTTGGTGTGACTTCAGCCGGTGGTCGCCGTCGTATATTGGGGCTTGCGGAACAACGCAGGAAAAAGGCGGCCGGCAGGTCGCGGAAACTCAACCGACTGGCCATCCCGGGGAGGGCGCACCGTTTACGCATTGTCAGGGCCTCTTTGTGCTCAGCTGGCCTCTGGGGCCATCAGGCGCAGGGCGTGAGTCCTAAACGCCGCAAGTTCTACAGAACGCTTATCGCCAAGCATCTGGGCAGGCACAAGCTTGGATCCATTGATCTCACTTTTGTTGTCAGTCGACGGCGTTGCGAGGATCCTCACCTCACCTTGTTGCGTCAGCATGTTCGTGCTGTGTCTAGGGTTTTTCGCCGTTGGCTTTCGGTTGACCCGGATAAGTTTAAATCTACTTGGATGAGCATTTGGTTGTGGCTTTCGCCGTCGCCACACCCGTGGAAGCGGGTCAATGGACCCATGGCGGCCTTGATAGCTTATCTGCTTGAGCTTGGTGTGCAGTCGCCGCAAGCTCACCTGTGGAGCCGTGGCGACAGCCAGCTTTGTATTGATTGGTCTAGTCCTGATGCAACTCGTCGTGTGTGGCACTGGCTCCTTCCTATCTGGGAGGATTCGCGTCTGCAGCGGGTGTCCCAGTTTGAGGGTTGTGCTGCACTTAGGTCTGGGGTTGACCTCACTGTGCCAGATCGGTTGCAAAAAAGGAAATTCTTTAACAAAAACATGTTGGTGAACCTGCAGGCGCTGTGGCAGGGTGCCCTGATAGGTCAGTCTAAGCCGGGCTGGTGCAAGCTTTGTGGATGCCAGCTTTCTTTACAACATGTCTTGTGGGACTGTCCCTTTATCGCTGAGCGCTTCCCTGAGCCGGTTCACTTTCGGGCTGCCCGGCAAAAGCGCCCATGGCCTTGTCTTTGGTTGAGAGGGTTGATTCCGAAAGAGGTTTCATGCATCAGTGGCACGTCTCAGGCCTCAGGTTTAGTGTTTGAAGGGCTTTGGGCGCGCAGACATGTGATTAGCAGCGATAATCTTGTATTTGCTTCTGATGCGTCGGGCGGTCCTGGAGCCCGTGACCCGAGGTCTGCTTGTGTGTCTTGGGCCATTGGCGCCTATGAGCTTCGACCTGAGGGGCCGGTTCGTGTGGCCAGCATCACTTGCTACCCGGTACAACCCTTGTCTGTGGCGGGGGCGGAACAGCAGGCGGCTTTCGAACTCCTTGGCCGTGCCTCAGGTGACCTGGACATCACAGTCGACTGCAAGGCGGTTCTTCATGTCTTGGAGAAATCCTCCCCACCCTTAGATGGTCCGGTTCCTTGGGGTGAGGTTTGGGCTGATCGGAGTAGGGCGCGGGTCACGTGGGTACCCAGTCACAAAACTTCTTCTTACTTTGCAGATAAGGGCCTTCCAGAGTGGCGTCGAGTGATCAATGAGGACGTTGATTCGTTGTGTGGCAAGCGGGCTGCTCAGGTGTACCGGGTGGCATCCAAGCCGGAATTGCACAGCCTGGATGAACTATGGGAGGAAGTGTGTTTGCATTTGGCTAAGAAAATTGGGTACGTCCTTTTGCATAGGAAAGACAAGCATTTTCCTTGGTTGCTTGATCGCGGAGATCCTGAAAGTCGCAATGACGGTGATTTACCTCGGGTCATTGCTGGGGATAAATTTGTTAAGCCCAAGCTCCTTGCGAATGCCAAGAAGGTGGCACCGCCCAACAAAAAACAGCGCCTTAAGCAGATGTTGGGCTCTCCGGACCCGACATTAGGTCACGTTTGGCGTGATTGCGAGGCCAAGGCGAGCAATAATTTTGCGATTCAGTGCACGGTTTGCAGCCTCTATGTTGAACAATGCAATGCACCTGCAGTTTTCGATCGCAAGGTCGCCAACCCTTGCCGGGACATTGCTGCAGCGGTGCCGTCGTGTTGGAATATTCACCCTAGTCACGACATGCATAATAAGGGTTCCCATTTCTTGTGCTCTAAATGCTTGGCTTGCATCAAACTTGGAGCCTTGTCGCCCTCTGCCCTTCTCCAGGCTGCGTGCAAAGGCCTAGGCCGTAAGGTTAATAGTGGCACGAAGGTTCGTGCTATGGCCCAGGTTGAGGGAGTTTCTAGTCATTCCATTGCCAGTGCTTTTCAGGCTGCCAGTGAGTCGTCTCAGAGGGCGGCTGTCACTTCGGAACCGGCTGCCAAGCCGAAGCCCAATCCTAAGGGCAAGCCTAAGGCCAAGAGCAACGATTCATCCAAGCAAACACGGTTGTCCTTTGCTTAGTTGTGCCGTGGGAGCTGTGAGGGCGGATGTCATCCTTCAGTTGTGATGTGCGCTTGTCTGCTGCAGTCCAAGGTGGGCTTGCTGCGCTTGTTGTGCCCATTCCGGTATGCGGAGCAGATACCCATCTAGGGCCTTGCTTTGGATCCAATGTGTAGCCGTTGTTGTCGCAAATGCCTATACAGCTCTTGCTGCCTTGGAGTGGGTGTCATCGACCCTTGTTTGCGGTGGGGCTGTGTATGCAATGCGGCCAACTCCCACTTTCTACACCTTGTGCAGTTGTCCGCGGCACAAACTCAAAATCGTAATGTGGGTTGTTGTTTGGGTCCTCTTTTAGTTTGGGGTCTCGCTTAGTTCCTTGCCGGTGTGCGCTTGCAGCTGCACCCGAAAAGTTGAGCGAACTGGCCAGTGCCAGGGGGCTGTGGATTAAGCCCTCACTCTTGTGAGGTAGTTCAGCGCCACTTGGCGGCTCAGTGGGAGTGTACTTGAAGTTGTGCTGTTGGCACTGGCAACCTCTTGCTGGGCTCTGCTTGGCCTTCTTTACCCTTTATAATGCTCTTGATCCCTTAGTGGTGTGTGCACTTGCGTGTTCATACCACTGGGGTCTGTACAGTTCGGCGTGTACAGCGGCGGGTAGTTTGTACAGGCGCTGCTGCTGCTGCTGCCTCGGCTGGGAAATCCCTTGTGGGCATGCCTTTCTTGGCTTTTGAGGCGGCCCTGGCTTGGAATAGCAATCCCTTGGTGGAAGTGCCAGTCTTGCCTGCATGCCCGTTGTATTCGTGGCTGATTGGCATTTCCTCCACTTTGGAACGGCACTGGTCCAGGAACTCGCGTGCAACAGTCTCACCTTGTTGCCTACGGGTGGCGAGGTGAGACTTCCGTAGGCAGGTAGTTCTCTGTAGATTTTTGTCTTAGTGATTTTCGTTCGAGCCTTGGAGCTGCGACTTCTCTCATCGCCCGGGAAGAAAATCCCATTTGGCTCAAGACTCTGGCTCAAGTTTTTCAGTGCCGTCGTGGCCTTTTAGCCTTGAGGCCCACTTTGCTAGAGGTCCCTACCAGACCCCAAACCGCGAACCTTAAAGGTCGTAGGCTGGCTGTCCAGCAAGGGTCGTGCGGGGTAGCGGTCTCTTTGCAACCTGTCTTTGGACTTGGTGCCCTTTGCTGGTGTTACCAGCTTACTGGTGCAACCAGTAGGCTTTTTCGCCAGCTGCCGGGTACCTGGTGTTGCCAGGGTGTGGGCTTCTCAGTGCCATGCCCTCCAATAAGAACTACACGGCATGTGCCCAATGTGGAGTGGGCTGGGTGTGGAAATCGGAAAAGGCCTGGTACCCATGCTGTTGGCATTGTGGTACTGCCTGGCCATGACCCTACACACCACCGAGCCAGCCACAGAGGTCCCAAAGCCCCGCGCGCAACAGCCAAGAGGACTGGAAAAAGTGGCAAGCCTGGGCTCACCAGGCCATGCAGAAAGAGCAGAGCTGGTGGGAACCAGCGTGGCAGCCAACGCGCAAGCCGAAGAAGCAGGTGGACTATCCGCCAGGACTGGGATGGACCGGTGCTCAGATGACTCCCCAGGAGTACGAGGATGCCGTTGCCAGTCTGTGGCAGGATGCAGACCCGCAAGCCCAGAAGGTTCTTCGAGCGTGTGGCATCGAGCCACCGACAGAGGACAAGAGTGATGACCCAAGGGTCACGCTGCAGAAGTACCTCTCGGCATACAAGTCGATCACCCAGGATCACAGAAACCTGGTGGAGCGCAAAGTGCGGCTGCAAGCGCGAGCTGACAAGATCAAAGGCCAGTTCGAAAAAGCCCTCAAAGAATTGGCAGACGTTTCCAAGGCCATCGAGAAGGCGGAGGACAGCCTGGGGAAGGTGCAGACCCAGGTGCAGGAGCAACTTAAGAATGCCGAGCCGCCCGAAGCCAAGGAAGTTCACGATCTCCAGGGCCTGTTGAAGGTTGCTGGGGTCGAGTTGTCTGCCACGCAAGAAGGGGCCTTGTCGGCTTACTTGCAAACGAGGAAGGAGGAGAGGGAGCTTGACATGGACGAGGATGAAGGCGACGATCCGCTAGGAAACCTTGGGTCCTTTGTTCCTTTGACCTCAAACTCCTTCAACACCAACTCAGGTTCCCCATGGGCGGCAAGAGAGTTTGGGCCCATGAAGCCCAGGAGGGTTCGTAGCAACCCACTCTCCCGCAATGACGGGGAAAAAGAGGAGGATTGAGGCTCGGGGCAGGGGGCCTTGCTAGGTTGGTGGGTGCCATGGTGCCTTCCTGGTTGGGTTCCCCAATCAAGCCCTTTCCCGATACCATGGAAAATTTTGCATCATAAGAACCAGAGCCCCGCGACCATTTTGGTTGAAGTGGGATCCTTTTTAACCAAGCAGAAGCTGGTGCCACCCAGCGAGGAGGCAAACCAGCAGCGGCAGATTTGTGAGTTGTGCTGTCAGCCCACGGACCGGCTGATGCAAACCAGCGAGGACTGGTGTGCTGCACTTTGGGTGGCGGAGAAACACATTCTCCAAAATGTGCAGCCCATGGTCTGTTCGCCAATTTTGGAAGCCTATGCAAAAAGGCGTACCACCTGAGGCAGAAACCGTTTGGGTGGTGCTGCGAGTCATGCTCCACATGGGTGTGGCAGCAGTCGGCAGAGCTGAAGAACACAGCAGGGAAAGGCAGTGGAAAGCCATCCCTGGGGTTTGGCCAAGTTTGGGAGAGGCGGTCCTTTCGGGGGCCCGGTACTTCCCTGTGGATTTTGAGGATGATGGTGAGGGTCTAGAGCTGTTAGAGGCCGTGCAGCCTGAACCCTCCCCACCTGGTGCAAACCAGGCCAGCCCAAAAACTGGGCAACGGAAGAATCCCCCCTCGGAGGGAGCCAAAGACACTCAAGCCAACGAAGGCCCACCTGGTGAGCTGACCAGGAAAGACTGGAACCAGCTATCTGATCTCCTGGTAGAGGAGCCTCAGTTCTGCATGCAGGCGAAGGAGGCTGCTATTTTGGAGTGGGTTGAAAAGATTGAACACAGTCTGATCCCGGGAACTTTGGCGCACTGGTTGGTTTTTAGGATGGTTGAGTGTTTGGAAACGAGGGAAGAGGATACAATTGGAATTCTGGCAGGTATTGAGGACTTCAAGATGCAAGCTGGACACAAGCCCAACAGAGGCGTGTGCACCATCTTGCAGGCAAATGTCACTCAGTATAGGTCAGAGATCCGACAATGGCTGGTGTCAAACCAGTGTCACGTTGCCTGTCTTCAAGAAACGCACGTTGACAAAGGGCAGCAGGAAGGCCTAGTCTCGGGCCTAGCAGCTGCTTCCTTGGACTCATGGCCGCACCCGGCTGAAGCGACGCAAGGAGGCAGCACAGGAGGCATCGTAACAACGGCGCAAAACCACCGTCAAACAAGGCACCTGCACACCTTTGGTGAACAAGGAAAGGGTTGTGTGATCATTGGCATCAGGTTCCATGGGTGGGAACTTGCTGTTGGTAACGTGTACCTAGAGTCCGGAAAAGGACCGGGTGGAGGTGTTAACCCCCAAATCCTAGCTGAGCTGGCAGTCTTCATCCAGGAACTTCGCATTCCCTGGATCATAACAGGAGACTGGAATGCATCACCTGAAGAACTTGTTTCGGCAGGTGTGTTAACGATGCTCAAAGGAAAGCTGGTGAAACCAGCCGAAGAAACAACGACGCAAGGGTCTGAAATCGACTATGCAATTGCCTCTGCAGCGATTGCCAGCTGTGTCCAGGCGGAGGTTAATTGGGAGGTCCCCTTCAAACCCCACGCAGCGATCAGGTACACCATCCACAAAGGAGGTGTCAGCTTACCCGTTCCTCAAGCGCCCAGGTTCACACCGGAACCTGGTGAAAACCAGGAGCATCCAGAGCTGCAGGAGATCCACCAGGTCACTGCCCTGTTTGAGGACCCCAGCAGCCACCAGAAACAGGTGGAATGGGGGACACTTGTTCACAAGCTTGAAGCTCAGCTGGGCATGGACCAACATGGCAGAGGCTGGTGTTTCCCAGTCAAAAGGGAACCACTAGTGCACAACACGTCCCCCCAAAAGCCGTGGAATGGGGGCAAAGTGGCATACCGGGAGCGCATGCTGCTATGGGTGCGTCAAGAACAAGAGAAGCCTCTAAAGCCGTCACAGTTTCGGCTCTTCAAACGCCAGCTAAGCCAACTAAGCCAGTTTTGGGACCCTGAAAACCCTACCAATCCTGGTGAGATCCAGGCCAAGCTGGAATCCTATATGATTGGCCATGCCACAGATGTGCAAGTTGTCCAAACTGTGCTTCAAAAGGCCAAGGAGGAAGCTAAGCAGTGGCAACAACAAAGACAGAAGCAGTACCGTGAATGGTTGGAAGGAGCGTGTGAAGGAGGCATGAGAGGTTTATATAAGGCCCTAAGATCGCCGGAAAACGTCCAAGTACGGCCCTACAGAAAGCAAAGTGGGGAACTCCGGCCTCACTTGCGCAGGCAGGAGTGGAAGGCCACCTGGCAGCCGCTGCCAGGAAACCAACCTCAACAAGACCCCCTCTTTGACCAGCTAAAGGCTGGTGCGCTCAGGCAACTGGAACAAATAGGACCTCTGGAACAAAAGGAGGTTGAAAAGGTGCTGGCCAGGATGGCCAAAAAGGCGGTTGGGCCGGATGGAATTTCGGCTCAAATGCTCAGGACACTGAGCCCTGACCAGGTAGCCCTGGTGACACAAGCCTTCCGAGACTGGGAACTTGGAGGCAGCATGCCCACAACAGTGACCATGACCATTGTCACCTTGTTGGCCAAAAAAGAAACGGAAGAACGGCCGATTGGGCTCACGTCGTATGCCTACCGTGCCTGGTGTAAAACCAGGTATCACCTTTATGATGAATGGGCGAGAGGCTACAAGGCGACGGCGCCTTGGGACCGTGCAGTCAAAGGCCTCTCATCCCTTGAGGTTGCCGTGACACGGGTCCTCAAAGGAGAGATGTATCGCCAAAATGGAAAAACAGGCATAACGCTTCTGCTTGACCTTCGTGGCTTCTATGAGAACGTGTCACACACGGCACTAATTCGTGCGGCCTTCAAGCATAAGTACCCGCCGCTCCTCTTGCATGGAGCCATGCAAGTTTACAGAGGAAAGCGACACT